CTGTATTCAAAATGCAGTCCCACTAAAAATAATGTATACAATTATGTTCAAACTTCGTTTTAAGGTGCCTGAAACAAACTAATTTCCCATTCAGACATGGGTCTCCATTCACTATATGGATACAAGTATTTCTAATATGAAAAGCCTGACCCCAAGCATTTCAAGTAAGGGATGCTCAACCTGAATCACCAGAAAATGCGACGGGCAGCTGAGCTCAAGCAGAACCAGCCTCCCTCACAGAAGTGCCCCATGATCAGGTATAGGACCGGTTAGGATAGGAGCAACTGTGGTTAACAGCCTGTCTCCACTCCAGAAGATGCTGCTTGCTCAAGATGGGCACACAGGTTAGCGGCTTGCCTTCCCTCCTTTAGTATCTATCAGAAACATCCTAGTATCATTGAGAGCAGGGCTCTCCCCAATTTTTATATTGGATTCCTTTGGTTATTTTACTGAGAATCTTAAGATGTGGAGGTTAGATAGCTTTGAATATGTATCTAACTTGTAAGTCCTCTGTAAACATAATTTTAACCTAACACACTCATAATGCCTAAAACAAATCAAACATTTTGCTCGAATGAGGCTGACAAATGGCTGCTTACAAGAAATAATTCTTCCCTAAAAAAAACTCTGAATATATTCTTTGGAATACTAGCTCCTTTTCAATATTAAAATATAATTCACAAAATAAAACACCCACCATTTTAAGACTACGAAAAAGCTGCTTACATCAGAAGTTGTTAAACTTAAAAAAAAAAAAAAAAGGAACTAAAGAGAACATATTGCTTTCAGACTTTCTGAAATAAAAAAATTCTTTTTGAAATATCTATTAACAGCTTCAGAAATTCAGTATAGTCAGTTAAACAGGCACATGTAGATCCTCAATACCTTCCTACAGAATGAAGTCAAAAGGAAACCAGAAGGAAACACAAGTCAATGAAACTGTCCTTCTAAACTGATCTGTTTTAAGTTACATACAAGTCAGTAGTGACAGTTTCTCTGCTTAAAGACACATTTTACATTATCAAGCTAAATTGATAAAACTCTTTTAGGTTAAAAGATAAACATTAATGTTATTTATTTTTATTTTGCACATGTTATAAGTATGTTAAGTACATACATTATGTACGTCCAGCTGTGTGCACCATGTGTGTACTTGTGGAGATCAGAGGTTGACACTGGTTTTCTTTATCACTCTTGCCTTTTGGCTAGGCTGCCAGGTCTACAAGTCCGAGAGCCTCTCTCTGTCTCCACTCCCTCAGCACTGGGGTTACGGGCACCTGCCATCACACTTGGCTTTTATGTGCTGGGGATACAAACTCAGGTCCCTCATGCTTGCTTGGGTGGCAAGTACTTTATCCACTGAGACAGCTCTTAATCTTGCTTTTAAAAGTTATCTTTAATTAGTTTCCTGTACAAAATATCAATGGAGGGAAATGTGCAAATCTTTTTTCCAAAACATTAATTTTCATAAGATTATGTCCAACACCAGATCAGGAACCCTGGGGACTGAAAGTCAAATAAAAAGGAACTTACAATTCATACTCTACTATTAAAAGTTATTAAGGTTTGAAATGATTCAAAACAAAAGTGTTTCAGATTGTTTCAAAGTAGTTTGGATTTTCAGGTTGGGGGGCTCTACTTGTAATGCAATATGGACTACAGACATGATGAGTAACACTGTAAACCCCAATAGTGGAGTTATCAGGCAGGGGCATACACAAGGTACATAAACACATATCTGAGAAGGTCCATCTTATAAGCCTTGTGACAATGTGTCATGATGGCCCAAAAATCTAGCAGATGCTTTTCTTCACATTCACAATAAAAACCATTTCAGAAATAAGAGTTTACAATCACATAAAAAGCTCAGAAAAGGCCACAACATGGTCCTTAATCGGGAACCGGCTGTCCTCGTCTGCTACTCCCCACCCATGCTTCAAACAGTCTTTAAGTGAACGTGGCTCACTGACTGGCTACAACAGCCGACCTCTGATCCCCTAGTATGCTTTTGTCTCCCAGCACTGCGACTACAAGCACACACCCCACCAGACCCAGCTTTTTAGATGCGTGCTGGGTTCTGACTCAGGTCTTAATGCCATGAAGCAAGCATGTTATCCACTAAGTCATAACCTCAGCTCTAAGTCACAGGTTTTTAAACAGTATATCCCAAACACATGTGAGAGCCACACACAAAAACACTGGCAATGAAAAGACCGCTGCACTCACACCACACCACCAGAAGTTAATTCAAAATCAACCACATGGTGAGCCCAGGGCATTTCTGGAGGGTTGGCCCACGCTGCCATCACACAACTTCACTGCGGCCTTGGTTCTGAACAAGAAACATGCTCTTTGCACTCTACATGCCAGTACACCACACACAATGCCAATGAACCCTGACTTAAAAACCTTGTCTCAAATTGAAAACCGTGTTCAGAAATGTGTCCCTCACGTTCTCGGCCCTATAAACATTATAGTTTCAGTGTGGAAACAGAGTTAACACTCCTGCTGATGCTCCTCAGCATCAAGTATCAACTAGTTATGGTTTAGACTGTGCTGTGCTACAATGTTTCATTTTAAAAATTGCTGTTCCAGAAGCTGGAGAGCTGGCTCAGTGGTCAGGAGCACTGGCTGCTCTTGAAGACCAGGGTTCGGTTCCCAGAACCCACATGACACCTAACAACTGTTCTAACTTGGGTTCCAACAACTCTGACATCTCCCCTGGCCTCCTCAAGCACTGTACAACATGGGTGCACTTACATACGGAGTTGACTTGAGTCTAATCTAAAAAAAAACAAAAACAAATTAAGTTGGGTGTGGTGGCGCACACCTTGAATCCCAACGCTTGGGAGGCAGAGGCAGGTGGATCTCTGTGAATTCAAAGCCAGCCTGGTCTACACAGTGAGTTCCAGGTCAGTTGGGGTTACAGGGAGACCTCAAACACAAACACAAACACAAACACACACACACACACAATTCATCGATGAATTTTGGCTTCAGATTGGGACAGAATTTCCAACATTTCTGCAATGGCCCTAAATACCTGCACCAATTTGTGCAGCTCATTCATGAAGCAGTGTTCTCAGCATTAGCACTTACGAAACTAAATACCAGTCAGCTCTAAAGACATGAACGATATTCTACATACTGCAATATAAACTGTTTAGTCAAGATCTGTCTATATCTGTGTGTGGGCTCCTAAATGCACATGTGTGCACAAGTGTAAGGCCAGAGGTCAACCTCCAGTGTCCTTCCTCAGGAGCTGTCAATCTTATTTTGAGAGACAGGGCCTCCTGCGCTGGAACCTGGAGCTAGGACAATCAGGCTAGTCCAGTTGGTCACTGCACCCCAGGACCTGCCAGTATCTGCTCCTCAGCACTGAGATTACAAGTGCCTATCACTAAGCCCTGCTTTTTGTGTGTGCTGGAGTCAAGCTCAGGTCTTCATGCCTGCACAGCACATACTTTACCAACTGAGCTATCTCCCCAGCCTCCAAATTTTAATAATTTCCTTAAACAAGCAAATCTATTTCATTAATGTGTAAGTTATCTTTCTCCTATAATAAATAATAACACTGTTACGTTAACTGCAATGATCTACAGAAACAAGGTCCACAAAGTCCTACCACTGAAGCTCTCCAAGATGTCCTGGTCTTGCCTTACTTACCAAGTTTGCTCTCCAGGTATGCTTTTAATTTTCTGCCCTGCCCTATTCTTCTTTTGACAATATTATCCTCAACTGTTTGTGTATTAGCAACCAAAATACTTATAAAAATAGAGTAAAGGGACAAACTCTAACAAATGCTATACTAAAAATGCAAATTGTTAAATGCCAAAGCTTTCCCCCACTAACCCAACTTACCACCTTTATTCGACCAACTATAAACTACTTTTGTCTAATGCATACTTAGTGGGTCTAAAAAAGCACATCACATTCTTGACATTCTAACATCAATTTTTTCTTTCACTTGCTTTCCAATAAGTACTCTGAAACCTGGCTAGCAGCCATTACTCCTCCTCTCTACATCGGGTGAGCAGTGGATGCCAACTGTGCAGCAGCACCCTGGAGGTGAGTAGCAATCACAGCAGTGAGCAGCAGAAAGACAAGTTTCTTGTTTTAGCATATTATGCTAAGGAGAAAGGAGAGTCAGAAAAAGATCAGGTAACAGAGACAGAGACTGAAAGAGACTAACGAGAGAGAGCAAGACAGAGAGTGACTGACTGACGTGTGAGGTAACCAGATAACTGTTAGGCAAATTGGCCAGGGAAAGCGTCTCTAAAGTGATCTTTAAACCCAACAACACTTAATGAAAAGCAGCCATCAGTCAGTGGAGAACAGTGTGTAACAGATATAAAGGTCTGGAGGTTAGGGATCAGGCTGACCTGTTCTCAAAGCCAAAAAGAAGACCAATGTGACTATACTGTAGGCGAGTGAAAAAAATCATTTAAGAAACAGAATGGGCTTTATCACGTAACAAAACGCAGAGTCTGGAGTTACTGAAATCAGCTGGTACAGGAAGAAATGGCTCCCAACAAAATGTTAGACACAACTGACTAAGAAGGGGGAAAAAAATCAAATTGGTAATGGTTGCTTCCATGGGAATTTTAGAGCTTACCACCACACCCAGGCCAGCACCCTTGTTTTAAAGGAAGGAAGGTATGTATGGTCCAAACTGTGGAGTCTCTGTGCACAGACTGAAGACTACCAGAGCTATATGTGATATTCCTTAACATTTGGGCCAAGTCTTTCCAAAATTCTTGGTCTCATTTTGAAAGCAGCCTTTACCATGAGTATTTCCAAAACTGGCATAGCAACAACAATCAAATGGAAATATGTTTAAGAAGAAAAGTTTTAAATTATCCACAAAAAATTATTCCTCTTCCGGTTTCTCACACAATTCTTCTAAAGCAACGATAATACGTATATACCTACTACCAAATGACCTCTTTGCATACTATGAGAAACAGGGAAAAATGAGTAACACAACAAAACATACTTACATCTGGGTATTCTTTTACAGGCACATAAAGTTTCTCTTGTAGCTGAACAACAGGTCCCACAGCATCAGGCAACTCAGCACTCCTCCTCTCTGTGCTGCCGTTTAATGTGTCATTGTACATGTCCTTCCGTACTCTGCTGATTTCTGTTAAAATTAAAAATTGCAATGTGTTACACAAACGCACACACACTATATATATATATATATATATATATATATATATATATTCTTGCTAGTCCAAGAAAAACAGGAAGTGGGACAGAAAGGGAGGATTTTGTTGATACAACCGGAGTTACAACTCCAGTGAAAAATGACTGATGTATTCTGTCATTCCCTGGATTAAGCCCATGTATAACAAGATGACAACCTTAATCTCTACTCAAAAAAATCAAAATTATACCAACCAAATAAGGTATCTCACTAAAACTAACTACAGAGCCTGGGCTCCTAAACCATAATATTATGAATCTACTTTAACTAAATCTTTCATGGGTAAACGAGGCTAGGCATTTCAGATGATAGCTTCCACCAGGTGACCATCATAGAACTGCCTATCAGACAAAACACCAAAGGCTCTCCTATTCTCCATAAATAATCTGCTTCAATGAGATTTAAACTGGACTACTCTCACAGGTATTTGAGATCTCCTTAACATACTCAGATGTTCCGGAGACAACCGATGGCAAGTTTAGTATAAGTCTGAGTTTGGTCAACAAATCCATCAGTTAAAGCTATGAAAGGAGATGTCTTAGAGAAGGCAAAGGGGAAGAGAGAACTCAATGAACCTAAGTAAAGCAACATTCAAGGGAAGAGGAAAACAACATCTAAACAACAATTTAAAAAAGAGAGGGAGAGGCAGAAAGTGCTAGAAAGGGCAAATGAACAAGCTGAGGTGATCAAACACTGCAGAGAAATATTGAGTAAAAACATGGTGCCTTGGATTAGAACAGTAAGGTATCAGTGATTAAAGGCACGTCAATAGAAAGACGGTAACACATTAAACCACACTGGGGTAACACATGAAATATAAAAAGACACCCAAAATCAATGACCTTTTGAAAATATGAAATTTCTATTTTGATGAGTCAAGTCCTATAAGGATGAATTCGTCCGTAAGTATTACTTAATAAGCTTCAACTATGTACCTGCACATAGGCCCTGCACACTGAAACATGCCATCACTACAACAGAGTATGCCATGATTAGCTTAGCTGGATAGCTATGTAACTGTCTATTCTGTACAGAAATGCCCTCCTTGGGAAAAAAGTTTTCATTCAAGTAAATAAATTTTATATATAGTCCAAATGTGCCATTTCAAACTACTCATATTAAGGAACAATTAACTATGAATGTAGTATAATTTTCCCAACTACTATATCAGTTATGGTTAAATAAAGTTCACAAGAAGAGAGTATGACCAGGTGCTTGCTGTGAAACCACTCAGACAGAGACCTGCGTGTCTTCCTGCTTCAGCGACAGCGGCGTCCACTTACTCTATTACTCCTTTTCAGTTTTCTTCTTGATGCTTTCAAATGTTTATCTCTGAACAGCAAACGAATCAACACGAAAATGAACAGAGTCACCTTGGATTTGGGTGAAAGAACATGCAGGTGCTCAGACTAGCATGTGGAGGTGGAGGACAACTTAAGAGTTGGGTTTCTCCCTCTACCATCATGTGGGAATTCCGGTCCTCAGGAAGTAGAAGGCCCTATCCTGCTGGTCCCTCTTACTTTTATACCTGTACATCTCACGAAATCTTAATTCAAGTACCAAATTCACGGTTAGCTTAAGCAAAAACACTAATTTTTGTTTTGTTTTTTTGAGACAGGGTCTCCCTGCAGTCCCAGGTGGCCTAGATCTCACAGAGGCCCAACTGTTTCTGCCTCCTCAGTGCTGGGATAAACAGCATGTGCGACTACACCCAATCATAAAATTTTAATGTAATTAAAGTGATACATGTACCCTTTACTCCAGGTCCCAATAATTTGGTATTTATTGCCATTTAATTTATACAGAAATTAGCCAATTCCTGTGATGACATGAGCACAGCACGAATACATGTCGGTGAATAACAGACTTTAAAAGCCATGCACAGATTTTACAGACATGACTCGGGGATTAAGAGAACCCATTGCTCTGGCAGAGGACCCCAGTTCAGTTCCCAGCACCCATCCAGAGCAGCTCATACCCACCTATGACTTCAGCTCCAGGGTGATTCACCACCACCTCTGGCCTCATGGGCACCTACACACACACACACACACACACACACACACACGCACGCACGCACGCACGCGCACAAAAATAAATCTTATAAACTACACACAAAATATGCATATAGAGATAGATGACAATTATCCTCAGGAGACTTGATCAGCTAATACATCTCAGAGGGAGAAAAGAGCCAAAACAAAGTGGAGTGGCTGGACATAGCTCATAGCTCAGTGGTAGGGTACATGCACAGCAAGTAAGAGGCCCTTGGATCAATCTGCTGGAGGGGGGTTTGCTACTATGAATGTAAAATAGTTCAATATTTATTAAGTACTTGGTGGGTTAAGTGCACGGGTGGGAAGATGAGGGGAGAACGGACTCAGTCCCAGTTCTAGCTCTCAAAGAACTTAGTCTACTATGGGGAATAAACGAGAAGCCTTTACACAGTGGTTTTTCAGTCTTTAAGGCATACCACTTTAAGAACAGAATACAAACTGTGCAAGACAGTGCTGATAGGAACAAGAAGATGACCAAAACATGCTTGCGGTCCTCCAGGAATTTACAACCTAATTCATTGCTCAATTTAACCAGGTGAACACTACATTTACCTTCAGCACCTTTCTAGCCAAGAAATCATCTGCAATTTCAGATGTACTGTTTGCAATACTCAAGTCAGAACAAGTTCTGATTCTTGTTCTAACAGGAATGATTTGTGATTTGGGACAAGTCTTATTTAACCTCTTTGTGCTACAGCTTCATAATTATAAGTTGCTTACTGAATGACTCAACTGAACCCACTGTGCTCCAATCCTAATATGCAAGAGCTCTGTTTACCATTTTGTCCCCATAACCCCATTCTCACATTTTTTCATCCCCTAAGTCATCTCAGAGCTTCTGCCAGTGTTATCGTATAAGCTGACGGTATATAGGCAGAGTACTACAACAACATACGATGGCTTCAGGGAATGCTCTGGTTCTCGCATAGGTAATAGGTTCACAGGGGCTCATTTATGGAATTCATGAATGTTTCCTAACTATTGTGTGGTATGTGGTCTCTCATATTATGGAACAGTGCTAAAATGCCCCATGCACATCCATGCCCTTCAAACCTACAGAGCAGTGGTTCAAAGAAATGAAAGAACTTGGTGTTAAAAAAAAAAAAAAATACCACTACAGTAACTCATAAATTTGGCAAGTATCTTCCACCTAAATATTCCCATGACTAAGGCAATTTGGTACAAGCATCTCTGAAGTTCTAAATGTTACAAATTTGTTTTTCTGAACCCAAACCCCTGCTCCTAAAATAGCAGCCACCGGCCATCACTTAGAAGCTTCACAAACATGTGAAAAGTTCTATGACATGGAATTGCCCTCTAAGCCATTTAACATATTTTAAAAAATATTTTATTTATTGTTTTTATGTGTATGCATGTATTGCCTACATGTAGGTAAGTGCACCCGTGTCATGCAATGCCCGTGGAGGCCAGAAGAGGCTGTCGGATCCCCTGGAACTGGAGTTACAGACAGTTGTTAGCTGCCATGTAGGTGCTGGGATTCGAACCTGGGTCTTCTGCAAGAATAACCAGTGTTCTTAACCGCTGAGCCATCTCTCCAGCCCCCACATAAAATTTTTTAAAACTTTAAAAAGAATTAAGTCCAGCTCAAAGTCTGGGCAAGGCCACTGGCACATGCAACAGAATAAATGCAAACACAGTTTTGAGAGTGAATGCTGTGGCATGTTTTTATACCTTTCCACTCTGATCTGTTCACATCCCTCTGAAAGTCCAAAGCCTCACACAACACTCCATGGCAGTTGGTGATAGCATGCAGACTGAAGAGGTCTATTTCAGATCCTTAACCCTCCACTTTCCACGCCCTGAAACAGCACTTTCAACTCCTTGGCAAGCTTAGCACACTCCTGTGGCTAAGGCAAGCATACCACTCTCTCTACAACTGTTCACTTAGATACCAGCAGACAACTCACATTCTTCCTGTTTTCTACTAAAACACCACTTCAGACTGATGTTAATCTGCCGACATTCTTTATGGTTGACTAATTTCTGAGTCAAGAATCTCATTGTGACTGACAGTAATTTCATAAAGCAAAGCACAAAATTGGATAGCTTCCATACCTTACTATTGATAAAAATCTCACCTAGATTAGATCCACAACTCCTGTTTGGGGGGCATTTCTAAAACAGCATCTTACTAACATAGACCAGGCTAGCCTCCAGTTCACAATCCCCGATTCAGCCTGAGTGCTAGGATTACAGGTATGCACCACCACAACTGACTCTACCTCTCGCTAGATCCAACATTCTAGACAATAATCTACATGTTATGGCATCAAGTTCAGAAGAGAAACTGTTCAGTTTTGGCAGTATTTTAGGCTCCTTCAATTTTCCATGTTTTTTCAAGTAAACAGTCAGTGACCACACTTTTTTTTTCTAATTTCAGAACGTATCAAACTTCCTGTGTTTAGGACGGAAAACCTGATCTAGTTACACTTACTACCTGCCGTCAGTTTACATTTCTCTGTTTTAATCCTGCTCCTCATAGGGAAAACTATCACTACACAGGTCACAGTTCCGTTTCTCTTTTACTCATGGTTACTCTATCACCTACACTAATTGTTGTCTCTTCCCCTTAGCTGATCCACTTATAGATTAGACTAAAAAGGTTTATAACCACTCAGATGCATCCTCAGTCTTCCTTCATTTTTTGCCTCTGGCAGTTTATGTTGTATTGAAATTACTAAAGCCCACTCTTTGTTCCCTTACAATGTTGAGCACTTCTTTTTAAAATCAAAATGACGGTATTTGGAGTACCAGAATAAAGGACAGTATGGAAAAGATGTAAGAGAGCAGAAAAATATAGCTGGAGAAATTTAAACTAAAAAAGTAAGAAGCCACAGGTATAAAAATTCAAT